TTGAAGAGTGCAATTTCGATTTTCTACTTCACTTAGTATAATCCGCATTTGATCATRATAACCGATTATTATATTGTCCCAAAAGGGGAAAGGCGGAGGCCATAATTCAGATCAACGAGTTATAATTGGATATGCTTGARGAATCTTGTTACTACTTGGTTTCGTTTAAGTACTGAGGCATTGTAAGCAAGTGTTGTGTGCGAAGGACTATATACACTTCATACAGGTGCTTTTAAATCAGCCTGGAGCGGACCTGGGAAAACTTGATTCCCCTGGGAGAAACTCGACCRTCCAATAAATAAACTACGAGCGTGCAGCGTTTTTGCCCTCCRGAAAACTCGATTTTCCACAGCCGTTTCTACCTCCGCCAATATGTGCGAATGCTCCACCGAAATTTATGCCTCCCGAATTCGGTAAAATACGTTAAATCTCAAAAACCTTTTCCGGTAAAACCGATCTCGTGTTTTAACCTAATAGTGGCGATTAATTATTATTAACGAGCACGTATTGTCGTACGTTTAAACTCTACGGTAGTAAAGTTCTGTAAAAGTTGCCAACACATATTCACCGAATATAAACTTTATAGCTTATTTTCCACAATATATTCCGTTCTACACAGTTACTGTGAGTCTCATGTGTATATAATATGTTTTATTCGCAACACGTGTCCTTCTTGGATCAATACGTAATACATAAATATATATCTGCATTCCATTTTGTATACGYTGATATCAATAACATGTATATGCATTTAACTTCTTTCGTCAGGCAAACAAATAAATATATCTAACTAGAACAGAGAAAAAATTAAGTATTTTAAGTTTACTTAAATAATACATTATGTTTCAGTTAACTAAATATATATATATATTTTTTAATATTACAAATCAATAGAGAAAAATTATCAATACGAGTATAATAATCTCGTGTTATACAATATATGTAATATGTACAAAATACAAAATTATATTTCTATACACGCARACTAAATTAAAAATATGAACCTTACTAATATATTTTAATATCTACGAAATTATATACCTTCTTATGTGTGTTATTCAATAAATATTATAGTAAATGGTTATTATTACTTTTTAATAATCAGAAAATAATTTAAACTAATCGATTCGAACGTTGCTTCCTGCAGAAATAATTTAAAATTTAATTTTAAGTAGATTTACTAGTAACATTTTGTATCGTATATTATCGATGAAAAAATATACTYGTTGTATTCTTAAATTTAAATCATTATTCAAGTATCATTTAACTAAAATTATATTTCTACAATGTATTCTACCTATGTTCGCCATAACTCTATATGCCTGCATAATATTATTTTGTGTGTATAATATATTTTTTAATTTTTATGGTTAAAAATGTTGAATTATTGACGTTTAAGAAAATAACGTTTTATAAAAAATTATGTTTAATTTATAAATATAATGTATAAAAGTATAATAACGATATCAAAATGCTAAAAAAAAACTGAATTTTTGTGTACAATATATATGTAAAATATATAAAGTAACATAAAAAATTAAAGTTATATACACCTATATAAACGAAAATGCGTTTATAATATTCCTGAATAATAACTTATTACGGATAATGTGTATAGATAACTATAATATGAACAATGTACAAATTGCATAATATTGTGTTTGTTAGGGTTTGTTTAACTGATCGCGTGTCGACGTACGTCAAACCAAATGCGTAAAGTCATCACGCGAATATCGAATTGGCGCACACAAAAAACAAAATAATAATAATGAATGCATATTTAGATGTCATCAGGTATTTAAATGAAAATATTCAAGCATTTACACGTATTTATTTCTTATATACATAATAGGTACATATATATATATATATAATACCTATATATTTAAAAAAAAAAGTTTTGATTCATAACGTTTATGCGATATTTTCACTTTACCTCACTGTATATAGGTGCATGTGATACAAGATTACAGAAGAGTCATATTTTATTCGAAATAGTACCTATCTCGCTACGAGCAGATAATGTTCACATAGCCTTTTTATAAATGCCACAACCGTAGCCTCTTTACAGTGCCATTATTCGTGTGTAATTTATTTTTCATGGATCCTTTCGTATATAGCTAATGCGCTTTTCTTTATGGTTTCGGAGAACGAGTAAAAACTGCAGGGAAAATGCAAATCGTCGAGACGTGAAGAAAATAACCGTGAAATATTATTTGTTGTAAAACTATATAATTTGCTGTTGTTACATTTCGGCCACCCTCCGCCATTGTAGGACCTTATGAAAAGTAAAAAATAATAAAAATACACGTCCAAATTGATTAAAAGCGTAGACCCGAGTGCGGTAGATTAGGCTGGAGAAAAAAAAACTATAATAAGAAAAGCTTGTGCTTTTGCCGAGGTCGTAAAAGCGACCTTTGAACGTGAAAAATAAAAAGTTTCTTGGCTTTACTGCGGGCTACAAGACCCCGGGCGGCATTTCTTAAAACCTTATACACACTGCATCATACCAGAAACGGCTCAGTCGATTTGTAATGTAATTCACCGCCGGCTCTTCCCTCATTCTGTCCATTTCTGGGGCCCAGATTATAGTGCTCCCTAGCTTGGTTTCAGAAATATCACGGATAAAAGTAAACTTTTCTCTGCATCTCGGAAAGGTATATTTTTTCACGTAACCTTCACTTTTCTGTCAACAAAAAGGGTCTCTTGTAACTATGGCTGGGTGTATATCATGTGTATGTGTGTGTATGTGTGTGTATGTGTATGTGCAGAGGAATTATTGAGTTTACTATGAAGCTACTATGTATATATAGAACGCTGGCTGCAGGTCGCAAATGGGGTTGGAAGACATGATTTTGAAAAGTGAAGTACTGTATGTGGCTATAGTATTAAAGCTACTCCGGAAACCCGATATTAACATTTTATGCACAGATACTTCCTGTATGGGCTGTATGCAATTTGTATATTTTGTCGTTTTTTATTTGTCGCTTTGTACGAACGCATAATAATGTACGAAATAAAAATCCACCTAAGATACGTGGGGACCATGCAATATTATTTACGCACGTGTGAGGGTACTCGCCTCGAAGAGTTTACCTCGGTGGCTCAGAATATAAAATAATGATTAATGATTATGGTGTGTCATTACTTGTTAGTGGTTACTATAGAAATTAGAAAACAACGATAAATCATTTCGTTCCTGAACTACAAATGGTTCTGAACGGAACTCAGTTAAAACCGCACGCTTACTGAGATTTTATTACCAACRTTTTTCGCAGATTTAATCCATTGGTATAGTTTTCCCCACACTTATCTATATAAGTTTCCCTATAGAAACTACAACTAAAAATGACCTCTACAAAGTACCAATTCAGGATAAAATTTAACCATTTCAAACCTATAAAAAAGCTTTCGTAGCTTTTTTTACTACTGGAGAAAAGAATCCACATCATATATAAAGAAAAGAAAAACAGTATCATAAAACCACAGAAAATCCTGAAATAATAACATTTATAAAGATTAATTATTTCGTGCTTACTATAAAGTATATRCTACACTGTTACATAAATGAGCTAAATGTGTATTTTTTAAAATATTTTTATATTATATATTAGAGTAAATTATATCAACACGTCTGAAAAATAATTGTTATAATAAAATATTAATAGGTATGTGCCTATATAGTGTATATTACCATAAAATTCTAACACGGAAACGAGTAATATGTTTTTGGTATAAAACCGGGAACATTGCTAGCAAGTCAAAATGATAATCGTAAATACATCAATATGTCCATATGGATAACATTCTATGAGTTATATATATATATATATATATTATATATATACGCTATATATATATTCATACGATATGCATGTAAGTTTGGGGGAATTTTAAATTTGTAAAAGGGATCAAATAATGTATATAATGTTAGAGCGAAACGATTAATTTAACGTATATACTATATATATATGTGTATATACTGTTATTAAGTGTTATCTCCTGTATGTGTTGTGCAGTTGTGCTATATATATAATTATATCTCCGGATATCCCTTTGCTATAAAAGTGTAAAAAGGAAATAAACGATCACCACTCACTTAGTCTGCCACAATTCCGTGTAGTATTCACGAGTGATAATATATTATAGGTACTTTACCTATTATTGTAACCTACAGAAAAGGTAATAATATCTTAGAAATACCTGTGTGAGCTATAGTAATATTGCATGTAATAGTCTTTTGATAACTATAGAAATGGTTTTTTGGATTTTTAATTTTATAATCATCTTAATGGTARAATCGTTAATAGAAGAAAGGCTATTATACATAGTTTCAAACTCTAAGATATTGTATTTTATGATGTTTAAATTTTTTAATGTTATTATTTTATCACATTAATATAAGACAAGTGTAGTATAGTATTTTCTTAGTATCGCGGATACATTGTAAGACAGAAAAACCACAATGATTAGCAGCAACTACTTTTACAAATTGTTTTTAAAAAAATGCTTAAAAAGGGGATACATTTTTTTTTTACGGAAATGCGAATATAAACTCGAACATAGTAAAAAATAAAAATATAATAATTTTGTAATGTTATGTTAACTGCAGTGGAACCAGACGAGTGGAGGGTAATGGATATATTATCCAGCTGTAATAGTCAAATAGCTATATAGGCAATTACTAGGCAAATACACTGTGTACCATCTGCCATCTGGTATATTTTTCTATGAATGCCGATTACGAATAACCATGTATAGAAATTATAATATTTTAAGTGTCGTTACGACCGCAACACTATAGTAGTTGTGTCCGAAACCACATTAAATGGGATTAACTGCAGTAGTGCAATACGATTAGTGCATTTAAATGTAGAGACAAATACGTACGTTAAAAATTATTAATAAAATATGTGTTCTGCAATCCTAAATTGTTTTAACTTCACTATTAAATCAAAAGTTTACAGCTAATTTTACGTTTGTTTATTATTTTATTACAGGAATATTCACTCCAGTCACCTAATGGCCAACAACCTAATGGAGATAACTTGGACACCGTCCATGAAAAACAAACTAAAATAAAAAAAAAAAACATTACTTTTCGGTAAGGCCGCATACACACGTGCTCATTCTGCGAGTTATATTTTTAAACAGTAATATGGCTGGATAGTACCATTACCATATAATTTTAATACACTCTGGCTAGGTACCTTTGATTTTGACGATTCACAAAACAAATCTATTCTTAGAATATTACACACTTAAACTTAAGCGTACGTAATAATTTTTTTAGGACATTTAATTACAAACGTCATTTTATTGGCAAATGATCGAAAAAAGTTTTATTTTGACTTTGATAAATTATTCTATGAACTAGATATTACTTATTAAATTAAATAAGTATGCAAACAAACCCCAATAACCTTTTCAGTATACCTATACAATTTTTATACACACCCAAAAATAGGTGAAGTATATTTAATTCAACAATTATAATTTACACTATTTTTTTTTTTCAATTATGAATTTGAATTTCAAAGTGAAACTTAAAATAATATTATTATGGTATATTATTCATTTATAAAAAATTTAACCAATTTTGATTATCAACCTGTGAATTCAACTAAAAATACTAAAGGTTAATTTTTATGACATTTTTCACTTTTCTAAGAAGATACTTGGACTGACTAAATATTTTCAATTTTTATTTTTGTTGACTTAAACTGATATTTTTTTAATATAACTCTACTTACATTACTTTTTATCGCTTTTAGTTGAATGAGCTSGTCACAGAAAATTTATATCATCAATGTCAATGTCTGGATGTATCAGGGTATCCCGGACGGGAGTCCGAAATGATAGCTCTGTGCAGACTCATCAACAACAGTATGCCCAGATAATTAAGGTAATTTTGTAAAAAATAACAACCTTTTTTTATGAAAATAAAAAGTAATTATTGTGGAGGGTAATATTTYCAACAGAATTAATGACAAAAACGTCCCTACATAAATAATTTTAGATGATTGGGGTTATGAAAAAAAGAAAATTATTTTATGCAACCGTACAAATTAAATTGAATTAATTTTGAAATATTCAAACAAAACCATGAGATTGTAGTAAATAATTAGACAATTATTTTTGACCGGAGTAATCATTATTCATAAAATGTATTAAAGTGTAATCAGCTCCATAATACAATTGCTTGATAAAAATAAAGCATAAATAGATAGTATAAAATTCTATAAAAAATAATAACAAGTACTATTAACTACATGTATTAAATTTATTATTTCAATAATGTTTCGGTAATGACTAAAATTTATTAAATTAACTCAATAATAAATGGGTATATTTGTAAAATATTTAAATTCTAATTATTTAGATTTTAGTTATTGCAGACATAAACACATTGTTATGAATTATGATACATTGTACCTTATCTTCATATAAAATACAGTCACAGAGTGTTTGATGATATTATTAGTCTGTATCTTGTAATTTGTATTATTATGTTATGACGTATATTGTGATTTACTAAATTACAGATTACATAGGTATAATAGACGCCGTGGGAAGCCAATGTTTGGTTACTAATACTACACGCGTGCATTGTTATAAACGCTGCTGYCACGTTGTTTTATTTTATCAGTTGCAATGGAATCAAATTTTAATAATTTTAATAGTAACGCACAGTTTGAATTGTCGCAAGTTTACATTTAACTTGTAATTTTAATTATGATTGAGTACACCGATATAAAATATTATTGCTTTTCATATTTTTAGCATTTTTTATGCCAAGCTTCTAATTATTATAATTTATTATTATTACCATTTCTATAATTTCTTTTAATTACATGCTGTTCGTTATTTTTGAAACTGTTAGTCGGATACAGTGGAATTTACGGGTAGAATGTCTAAAAACGGCAGTGTTACCCGGGTAGCGATTAACGATCTCATTTAGACATTAATTATAGTGAAAACTTGCATTATTTATGACCCAAAATACTAAAATGGTCTTCATAATTAAGGCTTTTGCTGAAATATAGTAAGTATCTTTTTCACCCAATTAAAAAGCCGAGATATTCCTTATGCGTACAATAAAAAATAACTATACAATAAATCTTTCATTGTAAACACCTGATGTACGCCTCTGCATTATAATAAATGTAATACTTTTACAGAAAAAACCWATTTTYCATATACATTGAATATGTATTTAACTTTTTTTTTCTTCTGGTTTCAGGTATATACAGATTGGGCAAATCATTACTTAGATAAAGCCAAATCAAAGAAAAACATTAAAGATCTGCAACTAGATTTAGCTGACGGTGTTCTGCTTTCAGATCTTGTCGAAACAATTTGTGAGTCAATTGAATATTAAATATTAAAATTTAAAATAAYTGAACACATCATTTATTATCATACCTAAAATCAGATGCAATTAATCATTATATTTACATTATATATTTCTCCCAATTGTCCTGAAATGAATAATTATTATGACAAAACCCTTAATCGTGATTCGCGGTGTCAATAACAATTAGTATAAAACAATATTATATAATTTCAATGTTATACTATACAGGGTGTCCCACAGATATTCTGACAAATGAAATAACTTTTGTTCTAATCAATATTTTTAAAAAATTTCTTTTAAATATAATTCATGGACACTTGCGCTATATTTTTAAAATACATTAATTATTTTTTAATACTGAAAATAAAAAACTTAAAAATTGATAAAAAATTATTTCGAAATATTCAATATATAGCCAATTTGTAAATCTGATTTTTAGAAAAATGTATATGGTAAAAACACTTATTTAAGTCAAATGACTGATTTTTTACAATTTTTTTAAATATCAATATTTTCGTTAAGTAAATTACGATCTAGTTTATGTTAGAAACCTTGTAATTTCAAATAATAATAAAGTTTTAATAATAAAMATTTTTAAATAAGTGCATGTTAAAATCTAATTATTTTTTTTATTGCATTTATTTTAATAATATGTGATGTATAAACTATAAATTACTATAATTTACCTAACGAAAATATTGATATTTAAAATTTTTTTTAAAAATCAGCCTTTTGACTTAAATAAGTGTTTTTACCATATAAAGTTTTCTGAAAGTCAAATTTACAAATTGGCTATATTGAATATTTCAAAAAAAAAAATTTATCAATTTTTTATTTTTTATTTTCAGTATTAAAAATAAAAAATAAAAAATGTATTAAAAATAAAAAATAAAAAATGTATTATAAAAATGTAGCGCAAGTGTCTATTGATTATATTTAAAAGAAATTTTTTAAAATATTGATTAGAACAAAAGTTATTTCATTTGTCAGAATGTCAGATCTCTGTGGGACACCCTGTATATATACTACAAACGCGAACAAACTAAAAACAATACGTCAGTAAATATTATTGATTTTATGTCATGCATTTAATTGTTTTTTGAACAGATAGAGTAGTTTACGAATACAGACGAATTATTAGTTATTGTACTGTATAAAATAACTCAATAATTTATGGAAATGTTCCAAAGATTCTTGTATAAAAAAACATACGAACCCTGCGACTCAGTTTACATATGATTTAAAATTTGTTATAGTCTGTAACTAATATTGATCTAAGGTTTAAAACTTTTAGTACATATTTAATAGTTATAACTTTATAGCTTTTCGTAGGTTTACTTCTGCCGATTCTATAGTTGATCATTATAGTATAGATTATTCATACATAAACTCGTTTATGTTTTTTTTTCGAATCATTTAAAGGAAAACAATCGCAGTTGACTAATTTCTTGTCGCATTGACACTGGCTGTTATACTATAATATATAACGCTAACATAAGCTCATTATGTATTTCTTGTTAACACCGCAGATAATGTAATTTAAATCTTCTTATTATAAAAAATGAATTTTATTGCTTTTCTAGTAAAAAAAATTTTTTAAAGACAGATTAAAAAAATTTCCGAGTTATTAAACACACTTATTTATTTGAGTCCATAAAAAAATATCATACATAATAATATTATAATATGTACGGAGGTCGAGGAACTCGAACACATGATGAGTTCGATGAGGTTAGGGAAATAAATAGAGAATAAATATCATGTACATAATAATATGTAGTGATCAACAAAATAATTTTGACTCGACCGTTGGCACCGTGACAGGTTTCTTTATAGCATTTCGGTTTTACGACGTATACCACATAATACTAGATGTGGAAATCCCGAAAATCCATATAAGACATTATACCCCGTCGCTTTTACGTATTTTCAGGCAATCATCGGTTGCCGGACGTGAACAGGAAACCAAGGACCCATTTACAAATGGTAAGTAGCATAATAGTGTTACAATATAATATATATATATATATAACTAGGCACTCGCACTGATATTATACATACCGTCTATATACACAAATGTATTACTTCTATTACGTCAGGTGCGAGAAAAAAACGAAATAAAATCGTGGATTATCGCGTGTAATACGAGTGTAATGCGTATACCAACAATAAAATTTCTTATCGGTGCGGCGACCGCATACAACAAAATATGGTACTTCCGAGACGCGGACGGACGCGTTTAAACGGACGGCGGCGATGGCGGGGCAGTGTGGCGGGGGAGGAAGATGACGAGGGAGGGGAGTGGGAGAAAATTGATAAATTTAAATATTATTATGCGCTCAGCTATAAGATACTCGCGTATGGGGACACACTTGTTGTACCTACGGTTTAACACACTTTACCGCCGATCAGCTGACTCGGGACAATGATAAGCGCGTGTCCAAAACCAGTTTCACGCGTACATAAGTATATATAATTACAAGTTTACATTATAATATATGTATTATAGCCACTTCCATCTGACCTACAAAACTCCTGCGTGCATTTTGTTTATGCTTTGTAGCCATGCAATACACACACACACACACACGAGCTCACTATAGCACGCACCATTCAAACACTAAGTCACTAACCCACCTATATACATTTCTGGGAGCCGTTTTGAAGGTTAAACGGACGCCGCGGAGAAGTTTACATACTCGATTAACGACCCGCCTGACCTCCAACTGGAGCCACCGACGACAGCGATGTGTCCGAGATACGCGGGATATAGGTGGTAGCCTATATAATATAATATTATTATTATTGTGTAGTAGCCCGTTTAGATATCCGAAAGAAAGTTAACCGCGTAAATCGTGTGCCTATAATAATTAATAATATTTTATACCTATAATATTATCATCGATCGTGATGATAAATTATTATGATTATTATTGCCGTCGAGGCGTCGACAGTCTCGCCTAAAATATAGGTGAAAATGTCGAATGCAGTACGGAATTAAATGCGAACGCTGTACCCATCTAAATTCTGAACGTGCAATAACGGAAATCACTAGGCGACCTGTCCCAATGTTTATGACACCGTATAMATTGTTACATTATACTTCTGCGAGCACGTACCTATTTATATATGTCTTRACAATATACTCGTTTCCTTCCTGTATAATATGCATTGTACACCCGCACGACGCACACTTACAATTCGGAACCGATCGTTTTCCGAACGGTTACTGCGCCAGATTTAGGGCGAACGGTCTTCGTCGTAATAATATTATATTCTATGTATAATTTACCCGAAAATAATATATGAATGAATGTATGCAATACATGTACAAGGCATTGTATAAGTAATAATTTATTATAACCCGTCGTGAGGATGATGAGTTCATTAACGAAAAAATATGTGTAAGAAAAACTGTCTAAAAAACGAATTAGTATAGATTGTCTCACTTAAAATACAATTACCTACTCGTTTAAATATCGTTGTATACATCTAGTGTGGCGATACATTTAGTAGATATATGTTTTGTACWCTTAAAATGTTAATATTAAAACGAAAATCCAAGAAATATTTTTCTCATTTGAATTTTTCTCGTATTTATACCCAWTATAATTAGATTACTGTAGCAGTGCCTAATATACTACAAACGAGTTACAAGCAAATATTTTACGATAAATAATATCATTCTAAACGAAACAATAATGCTCTGCATACAATGCAAACGGCTTAAAACATAGGTATCCTAAAATTATGTGTACACACAGAATCGCGAGGGACAATTTATATAATAATAACAAATGTTAGTACTAATTAGCTATTATTTTAACTGGCTGATAATATATGCAATATGCAAATGAATGCAATTATCTGCTCTAGTTTATAACACATATTATACGGGTATAGACTATTATTTATAGAACATTGAAATTGCAAGGAAAATGCTTTCAATTTATATTGTTTATTAAATGGAAACACTGATTTTCGTCTATAACATTATTATATAAAGAATTTTTCCGTTATCGTATCGAAAAAAAATGTTTACCCGAACAACCGCGGTTCATTCGTGATTTACCGCAATATTTTATATTAAATCGATATTCGAGTGTTACCACTTACCAGGCCGAGTCCTCAAAATGCACGTAACGTCGTGATTATTATTTATTGCCCATTGATTTGTTATTGTTTATATTGGTGTACAGTTACACGGTGGAGTTCAAGAAACCATATACCTACAGGTACCTATGGTATTAAATCAAACTGACCTACCAAAACGGTCAATGTCAAGTGTACATCCATTATGTTAATTTGTTTTGCACGTATGCAGTAATATTTATATTAGTTACAAGTAGTATCAAGAATAACATTTACAAACGTTTAAATTTACAGATACCTATTTATATAATATATAGCTGACCCAGCCACGAGTTGCTGTGGCTCAGTAATTGTAATACATTGAATCAATTTTTTAATTTTTTTTTAATCAATTTTATCAATCTTTGGTACAATCAAATTAATATTTTCTAAAAAAATTTWAAATAGTTTATTCATATGAGATTGAAAATAAAACGTTTCGCCAAAATTTAAAAGTAATAGGTAAAGTATCGAAATGTTGATATTATATATATTATATGGATTATGCATATACGTATTAATCTATCATAATATTTATTATTTGTATTTATTTTTGACACGTACATCAAACGATAAACAAAATTTAACTATAAAATATTTTAATACATTGAAATTTGCAAAAGTTGTACTTTTAAATTTAAAAACGTATTTATTTACATTTTTTTTTCATTTTAAACTCACGCTTTATTCTTTGTAGTGCGTTGCAAAAAGTACAAATCTACACGTAGCACAGCCAATCGATAAAATTAAAATTACGTTATAATAATCCTTATTAGTAGGCACACAGAACGGTTAAAAAAACAATAATAATAATAATAATAATAAAAATAATAATAGTGGGTGCTGCCATACGATTATGTTGTCGGTGTCCGTGTCGGTCTACAATATAGCGTGGAGAAACAGTGTGCTGTGAACTGTACCAGCGGATAGACCGGTTCTCGTATTCGTATGAAAAATAAAATAGTAAAATCGCGTATCCGTTTGTGAATAAAAAAAATATTTCTTATTTTCGAAGATATTTAAAATAAAATTGTGCTTAAACTTACTTCTCAGTGCTTATAATATAACTAAATGGCGACCAAGACGACCAATTGATACAATATATAAATACATAAATAAAGTAAGTAACAAAATTAAAAAAAACGTTTAGTCTATACTTACGTAACTCTAACCTACTGAAAATTAACACATCTCGTAAATAATATTAAGTAATTTATAATATACTTCTTAGCAGATATTCAGTTTTTAACAGAGCATATGATTAAGTCATCATTCAGGAAATCAGGATTATTTAGGAAACGGTTTTAAGTGACCATAGATCCCTATTCAAAGATTTTAAAATAAATGTTGGCATATTTTTATGTACTTGAATAATTATAATCATTTAATGATCATTTTATTTGCATTGAGTGCAAGAGTTTTTGATCAACGTTTATATATTATATCAATTTTTTTATAATGACATAAAAGTTAATATTTAATTTTTAATATTGTAGTATGGATATTTTTATAATTACTGTATCATCTATTAAAGTAACACATTTATAATTAAGACTATACTTAGTTAATATTTTAAAACCTATATATTGTATACTACTAAATTTTGAAAGTGATTTTAGATTTAAAAACTAAAACCCACATCTATCGTAATTCGTATTGAATAACACAATCTATTTAAAATCTATATCTATGAAACAATAATAAGTTAATATATTATACTTTATTATAACTCTTATAACTGATTAGTTTTAATTTCATAGAATATGTACCAATCTTACAATACGTATAGAAGTATAGAATGTAATTGTATACACCTATATTATATTATGTATAATGCAATCTTTAAATTCTATTATAATATATTTTCTCACTAAATTAATACTTTTTTTCTTCTTTTTAATATTAATTATTTCATTATTTATTGCGATAATTTTCCAACAATTAAAGTAAGAGTAAAAACAATTAAAAAAAAAAAATCTTATAGAACTTAGATAATATTGTAAGTAGTAAGTCAGGTTTCAAATTAAAATAATAGGTATTTAGTATTGTTTGTTATCTTAACAATCATATTGTTATCTTAACAATCATATTGTTATCTTAACAATCATATTGTTATCTAGACCACGCCATTGTTTGAGATAAATAGTAAATACTGACATTATAAAATTTTCCGTTATTTTTGATTATAAAATTGTGAATTAGGGTTATAAATTCTAAATAGATCAAGGGAACTATTTATTTTACAATTATGTGAGCAATTGTTTTCGATTAACGCTTTTCAACGTAGTGAACATTTTTCAAAAATTCCATGCAATTTGACATAGGTATAGATAGGAAGTTTAAATCAGATCGTTCCCATATTTGAATTTTTCAAGAGTTCACAAAATAATTTCAAAAAAAAAATATAAATACCAAACGTTTTTAACAAAATTTTGATTATTTTTGATTTCATTCAGAATTGTCCTCAATGATTCATCATTGTTTTCAAAAATATATGAGACGTGTATCTCAGTGACCTGACCTTCTCACACGTAGTATCAAATTTTTTTATGTTTCTATTATTAAATGAATTATTGTTTATATTTAAAAACTAGTAACTATTAATATATTTATGAATTAGTTTTTATCAGACATTCAGACCAGCATATGTATACMTACTATATTATAGAGTATAAATTCTAAGAATCATATGCATATACTTAATACTATGCATATTGCATATATATAATTGTATATGTATAAAGAATACACACATACATCATTCAATACTTGTGTACTACATTCATATTAACATTGTTATAAATATTTATAATTATTAATTATTGATAAAAAATATATAATTAATGAATAAATAT